ATCTTTTGTAATTCAAAAAATAGGTAGTAATAATTAACAATTTTAACGAAATTTAACAACAGATAGGATTTTAACTTTTTTTTATCAATTTGGCGAGTAAAATTTACAGAAACTGTTCAAAATTACGTCCGTTGGCTTGAATGCACGCATTACATCTTCTAATCATGTTTCTTTCTGCCGCTGCGGTTTCACCTCTATCGGTCAACTTTTCGATAGTATTGACATGGATTTCATAAACGATGCATTTCGTTCTCCGGATGTTCTGTTCAGTTACTTGCACTTGCAAAATGTTCAAAATGCAAAATGTAAAATGTAAAAAAATGTTCGTAACGTTAGCAAAATGTTTGCTTTTGTTCATAAAAAGTCATTTTTCTTGAAAACGGTTGACTTTAGAGCAATGAACCAAGAGAACGCTTATTGTGCAAAATTCATTGGCGCTTTAGAATTTGCTGTCAAAAGTAAATTTTTCCAGTGGCGTAAAATTTAGGGAGGAAAAAACCCTTACGATACCTTAAAATCTCCAATGAATTCGAGAAGGGTGCGAAAAAGTAGCTATTAATAGTGGTAATGTGTGTACAAAAGCTCAGTCCTGTAGTTCAAACGATTCCTAAGATATTGGCGAAAAACCAAAAAAAAATTAGTTTTGACAACGTGTATCTCAAAAACGAAAGCCCGGTGAGAAAAATGGAAGAGGAAAAAATGTTTCTTTTTTCAAGAAGAATTTAGTTTTCCGACACTTATTTAGGAACACCCTGTATAACCAAAAGATGGGAAAAAATCAAAATCAGTTAACGTGTTTCGGCATTTTGAAAGAAATTAACTCATTCAAAAGATATGAATTTTATTCCGTACTTCTGGCCATCCCTGTATAATTTAGCTTGTAACCCCACGACGCCCAAAGAATTGATTTTTAAGCATATTTAACGCTTCCGAGCACCCTACTAATAATAGAAATTAAATAAAAAATTAAAAATACTTATTAATCTACTATATTTGAAATATTTTTAAAAATCATTTCAAGTTTTTTATAAGTTTTTTTTATTACTTTTTTAAATCACTGTATTTTGTTTATTAATTTTAATGTCGGTAACCTCAAAACAAAAACGGCTGAATGTCACTGTTTAATTTCATTTAATTTATTTTTATCTCTAATTGAAGATTTGAGAACAATGCATGTTGTAGCTCGCGCTTGTGGCAAGCACCCAGTGTTGTCTGAATTTACATTAACCTGTTCCAGGAGCGGAATATGGAAATTACGAAAGGCTAAAAAAACGTTTTGTGGAAATTAAGAAAATGGTCAATAAGGCAGATACTAATCTTTTGCAATGTCAAAACTGATGTCTCCTTTATGTTCGAATTAAAAAAAATATTAAAAATAACTTACCTGTTGTCTTCCAGTAAGACCGTATCTTCCAATAATCTTCCTCATTTCCTCTTTTTCTTTCACATCAGGAAATTCTTTCATCATATACTCTAAAGGAGAGAGATCTAAATCTAAAAGCTCATGTAAATGTTGGTGATATCTTGCTATACGTAAATGTGAATTTTTTCTAATCATTCCTTCGGTGGGTGTTAACTGAACAGAAAAAAAATTATATTGGGGCACATAAAGAATTCTGAAAACATACTTCACCATACAATAACTTTAGAAGAGTACTCTTTCCAGCACCGTTAGGTCCTACTAAAGCTAACCTTGTATCTAGATCAATACCAAACTCCAAATTTTTGTAAATCCAAGGAGATTTGTCAGTATATTTAAAGCTGACATTTTGCACCATAATAACTGGCGGTGGAATCGTACCACAGCTTGGAAAATAGAATGTGACTATTTTGTCATTAGTTACTTTTTCCGTTAAACCTTGGGCAACCATCTTAGCTAGCGTTTTTTCTTTAGATTGGGCTTGTCGAGCAAGTTTAGCAGATCCATGTCCAAATCTGGCAATATAATTCTGAAAGTACAGTATTCCATAATATTTTTATACATCTAATATTTCAAGACATTATACACATATCGATAACCACATAAATAAAAGTTGCATACCTTCATATGGTTCATTTGATCTTGTTCCCAATTGTATTGTTTCATTTGATTTTCTAAAAGTTCCATCCTAGTTCTTACAAATGCATCGTAATTTCCAGTGTAATATTTAAGCCTCTTTTTATTAATGTGGATAATATTTGTACAGACACCGTTCAAAAAATCTTGAGAATGAGAAATTAATACCAAAATTCTCTTGTAGCTGGAATTTTAAAAATATATAAAAATGTATTCACCCTTCCAGAATAACTGCAGTATTTGAACTTACTTCCTTAATTCTTCTTCTAGCCACACACATGCGTCAAGATCCAGATGATTAGTAGGTTCGTCAAGAAGTAACAGATGTGGCTTGACGTATAGGGCTCTGGCAAGAGCAATACGCATTCTCCAACCTCCGCTAAAATCTTTCGTCTTCTTACTCTGCATTTCTCTCGTGAAACCAAGACCATGTAGAATATTTGCTGCTCTTGCTTCAGCCGTGTCTGCAGATATCTCATCCAGCCTTTCATAAATGTCCATAAGTTGTTCTTGCGATTCTATTAATAGGAAATAAACATTGATTATTTAAAATTATGTAATACATAGTCAAAAAAATATTCGGAATTTGTCATTTCAAAATTCCGCAGAAAGTAGATGTAAATTTCTTTTTTGATAGAAAGTTGATAGCACCGCACTCTAATCTGGCGTTTTGAGTTTAAAAAAATACAATGTCTTCAAGTTCTATTGCACTGCTGGTACTTCTTCAGAAATAGAAAAAGAAATCATTTTTGTTTTATTGCATGTCATTAAATAAAACAAAAATAAAACTACTAAACACGAAACTTATGTAGAAATTAGTTTATTGAATTTCATATGTAATGCCTGTGAAAAAATGAATCAGTGATTCAAATTTTGAAAGTAAAATTAATGCTAAATATCTACGACCATGTAAGCAAGTCACACATGATTGGTAATTTTAATTACAGAATAATGCTAATTACAAGGGTTGCATTTTATATTTCGGGAATAGAGAACAAAAAAAGAACTTAACCATCATATATGGCTAAACTGTTTTTCTAAATTTTCTCCATGAAGATCGATATACTTTTGCATGTGCTTCAAAACACTTTTTCCATTCCTATTGAGGTACATCCAAAACATACATTTTTAACGCATCAACCGCTTTTTCAGGCATCTAAAAACGTTGACTTTGTAATGTATTTTTGATGTGAGGGAATAAAACATCATTGGGTGCCAAATCAAAACTGTATGGTGGATAACTCATCTATTTGGCTTTTTCAGTTCTAAAAAAGTTTCTTATTTGTGCCGCTGTGTGAGAGCTCGCAATGTCCTGGGGGTGGACGATGATGCTTCTTCAATGGTTGGTTTCCCTTATTTTTTCGAAGACTTATGGCAAACAAATGATTGTGCACCATTCATAATTGACCGTCTGACATTGCACTAATGGAACAGTTACCACATGTCCAGTAAAAAAACTGGACATTTGAGAAAATAGGCGACGTTTGCTTAGAAGTGCTTCATGTGCAAACAACTTTTGTTAGGTTTGGCTCATCTTGAAAGACCCATACGGTCAACTGTTTACTTTCGGATTCATACAAATAGATCCATGATTCATCACCTGTTACAATGTCAGAAGTATTTTGATGGTGTTTCATCGCCAAAAGTCGAATTAAGTTTATCAAAGCATGGGAATGTTCACGATTTAATTCCATTTTTTGGCCGAGATGAATTTTTCAAGTCACTGTAAACAACACAAACAGCGCCTGTATGTCAAAATGTTCTGAGTAAGTATACCGACAAAAAGTCGAACTTTATAGTAGGGATGTCAGTTGTCAAATGGCAGCACCAGAATCATCCATTCCCAAAATATACAAGGCAACCCTCGCAAGTTGATGATGGTCCTAGAGAGACGAAACGTTACATATAAAAATTGATTATGCGATTTGATAGAGGGCAAGAAGTGGCCATGAGAAAGTGTTCTTCTTTCAATATCACCTCAAACAAGGCTGAAATGAAACAAAAACGTATTTCCAAAATTTCGTTTTTTTTCAAATATTTCGTAAACATGTTAGCCTTGATTTTTTAGAGGCATAATGTTGGTCCCCTGATTACACAACTTTGTCCCCATTTAAGCTACTTCGTACCTCTTACCGTTTCCGAGATCCCTGTGGTGAAAACTGAATTTGTATAGGTATTAGAAATTTTTTAATTTTTTTTAATTAAACAATTACAAATTTAACAAAAACCCCCGAACTGTTACCTATTATTTTATTTAACAATTGAACTTTTCACATTTTCTATCACGACTGAAGATGTTTCTACTGCAATTATGCTTATGACATCTAAAACTTTCATTCAATAAAATTTTATTGTTTTTATAAATATAAATTTGAAGAGAAAATACATAATTTTAAATATCAATTAGTGTCACCATATATACAGGACAAGACATTGCCTACAATTTTAGAAGTTAGTCAGTCCGTGGCCCACGGGTTGAGTGGCCGATGAAACCTAAGTTGTTGCTGAAACTGAAGGTACTAAATATAATAAATAACAATCATGTATAGTCAGAATAAGGCAAGAAAATAAGAGACTTAATTTTAAGCTACCGTTTCGATTTTATTTAAAATCTTCAGGGTTACAAATAATATTAAAAAGATAAGAATATATACAGGGTGATTCAGTCATAATGTCATTAATTTTAAGGGAAAATAGGAAAAATGAGTAGAATACAAATATGCAATTAAAAACATTTTAAAGTGCATATTTACACTGAAACAAAATATTTTCAAAACATTATTTCTAATTCTAATGATTGTTTGTTAAAAAATTGAAACAAAGTTTAAATATTGTTTCAATGTTTTTTTTTTAAATTATGTTCTATACATATATCCTTACATTATTATCATTTATAGCTCTGAATATTTTTTTAAATATAATCAAAATGTTGGCTTACTCAGAAAATAAGAACCATAATTTCTTACCCTATTTATAGGGTAAGAAGTAAGGATTATACATTGTTATTACACTAATTGAAGGGCATGAAATTAATTTGATAAATAATAATAAATGTATAATTTGTCAGATCTGAGGGGATCAATCGCAATACCTCCTGGATCCTGAGAGCCTACAGATATCAAAATTCATAGACTAGCGTTAGCCTTTATTTTATAAGCTAAGCTATTAGATAAGTCAAAGTAAGGGATAACACACTTGTCCACAAATGTAAATGTTTCTATTCAATCAATATCCAGAAAGTATTGCGATCGACAAGCTCAGATCTGACAAATTACGCATTTATCATTATTATTTATTGCATTTATTACTTTTATTATAGTTGTTTTACATTGACAATTTATTGATCAATTAATTCATGAAGTCGCCTCATCAAGAAATTGGACAAGTGTAATGCACCAAATCTGCTGTCAAATAACTTCATGAATTGATTCATCAAGTTCTTGACGAATTAAGAGCATGTTCTAATTTTCGTCAATTTCTTCGTGAAGTTCGGAAGTACCAACCCAACAGATTTCCAGCCTCAGATCAGTAATGAGGTTATGTTATTGGAATATGCAAATAATTGTGTGGCGTCGTACCAGTTTTGCATTTTACTGATTTGTTACTTACAGACACTAATATTTATATAATATGTGTCAAAACGGTACCGCTGTTGTATCACTACAATTATGAGTGGAAAGGCGACATTTTTGAAATTTATTTGCTTCTTTGATTCGTTAGTGAAACAGATTCATGCGTCAAAAAACTTGACAAAGTCTGTAGCAGTGTAAAACCACACTGTTTACCAATAAATTCGTAAATTAATTCATGAAGAACTTCGTCAATTTATTCATCAATAAATTGTCAATGTAAAACAGCTATTACTGTATTATAATAGTTTAAATTACGGATTGGCGGCACTTTCGCAGATCTCAGGGCATTGACTACGCTATCCCGGGCCATGGACAACCCAAACTGTGGACAACAATTAGACAGACCCTCTTGTCCTGTATATCCAATTGTGTAGTGTCATTAAGATTTAAAACATAAAATAAATAATAAAACATGCTTTATAACTCCAAAATTTCAGAACTAAGTATTACATTAACCTGCCTTTTATTAGACTGTTCTCGAGAATTCTTGGACTGACTTGTGTCATATTTAATTAATTTTTCATGACACATTTTAGTTTTTCATAATGTATTTAAGAAAATGTTTTTCCACAAAAACTCATTAAAGTGCTGTCATAGTAAAATAAAATAATTCTATACAGACCTGTTATATTTCATTCGGTAAAAAAAGTTACAGAAAGCTAAAATTAAAATGGTACTAGAGATGAAAATTGATGAAGTATAAAAGAAACAACTTTTCTCGAGACTTTTCTAATCTAATTTTTTTTCCAGTCTAATTTTTCAGTATGTCATGCATTATTTTTAAACAGCAGTAAAATTTTTCAGAAATCGATTAATAAAACTGTCCCATATAAAGTGTAGTTTATTGACATTATAAAAATGTCAGATTATTTCTTACCATCATCTTCACAGGCTACAAGCGCCTCGGCCATTTTCTCTAACCTAATTCGTTCTTCATCCACTTCCATGACACACTGAAGAGCAGACTTATCCGAAGCAGGCATTTCTCTTGTCAAATGGAAGATATCAATGTGCTCTGGAATAGGCACTTCTCTATTTCCTAGAACTGCTAAAATTGTTGATTTCCCACTACCATTTAAACCCAAGAGACCATAGCGTCTCCCACAGTTCAGCTCCAACATGGCATCTTGCAACATTTCACAACCATGAAAAGTTATGGAAAAATTTGCTATTTTAATGTCCCTCGATTTTGGATGAACAGCAAGAGAACCAGTACAAGCACGAGCTTCAGCATTGAGTCTCGCATCTGCTTCTAACTTTGCACATAATGCCTCTACAAAAATTATAAATCAAATATAATTATTTTTTATGTAAATTTATATAATGGGCATGTCAGAATACCTTCAACACTTAATTCTGTAGATCCATTTTGTTCTCCGTTAGTAACTCCATTAATTTTCGATGCATCGATCTGCTCCTCAGTTTTACCCTTATCCGTTTTTTTACCGGCCTGTCTAGCTTTAGCTGCTTCTTTTTTGCGTTGTTGTTCACGTTTTTTGGCGTCAGAAGGCATCGTTTTTAATTACTGATGTTAAATCTAAAGAGTAGAATATATGAAAATAATCTTTAGTCTTATAATAATTCAATATTTAGAAAGTTATTACATTATTAACTTTCACAGTATTTGCATTAATTTTTTTTGCAAAGAATGCTGCGGTCGCCACGACTATGGAAAATTTTTACACAATAGGTAATTCCATTTGTATAAGGACATGCAAAAATATATACTTAGAAAACGAATTGACAGTTATTAAACTATATTTTAAAAATCTATTAAAATGTTCAACACTAGGTAAACTTACCTCAAGATAATTATAAAAAGTGGCTTAAATTTACACTAATTTTACATGTGTCCCCACAAAGTCTGGACAACTGAAAAGAGGGAAGACTTTAGTAATATTTTTATTTTAAATAGCAAACCTGAATTTAAGCGATTGGCGGGAAAATTGGACACAAATAATTTTATGCAAAACCACCATCACATTTTACATTTTTTACAAAATAGGTAGTGTAAATATGTGATAAAATATAGCTAGTAATTTTTTTATCTTGTTAATTTATTTTATAGAGAAAGGATAGTATTCTGTTATCTGTGGTTAATTTTATATACATAGATTCTTGGTTCTCGATCAGTTCAGTGCGAACAGCCGAGCTGAGCGGACGTGCTTGTTTGTGAGGTGAAGTGATTNCCATTATTGTCGTCACACCGTCTCATCATTTCCTCACAAAATTGTAATCGCCTATCATAATCGTCTTCCAAAAGCTCTTGGACAAGACATACCTTATAGAGGTGGTATTTCTCTTGTTTCAGAAACATTCGAATTGCAGTTCGAGAAGCATCGTGATTGCGGGCCAATGAAACTGTTGAAGTATGAGGATTTTCAACAAGTTCTAATGCAATGTCTAATTTCTTTTCTTCATTCAAAGCACGTGCCCGTCCAGTTTTGGGCAAAGGCTGTATTGTACCATGTTCCTCAAATTTGTGAAATATTTTACTAACTGTCCCTTGCTGGATTTGGTTTTTGGGATATTTCGCATTAAATAAATCGCGCACTTCAGCCTGACTTCTTATTTTGTCTCCACATCCAAGCAATACCAAGATTTCGATACGTTGCCTTTCCGACAATACCATTGCAATTCAGTAAATAAATTGATTTTGACACTATAGTTACGTTTCGAACTCCAATTTACAACTAAAGCGAAAAATTAACCAGAAAGCCTGGCAAGTAAGTGGTGCCAAAAAAACACAACATAAAAAATATATATTTTTTGTGTTAGCAGCGATAGGTACAGTTTCAAATTCTTTTTATTCTATGCAAATTCATGGAGGATAACACTGAAGATAATTAAATTTTATTTAGGTGTATTTTTAGTAGGTGTTTTATACAACCCTAAAAACTTTGCTATTGAAAAAATAAAACTTGTTTATTTGGTATGGTTGGATTTGGTTTTCTATAAGCTTTTCAACGAGCCCCCTCATGCCTTATGTTTCCATTTGAAAAAAAAAGTAGGGGTAGCTGGGGGTTAGGGGGTTGAAGAAAAATTAATTATTATACAGGGTGTTCCTAAATAAGTGTCGCAACGGAAAACTATAAATTCCTCTTGAAAAAAGAAACATTTTTTTCCTCTTCCATTTTTCTCTCCGGGCTTTTGTTTTCGAGATACACAGTGTCAAAACTTTAATTTTTTTTTAGTTTTTCGCCAATATCTTAGGAATCGTTTGAACTACAGGACTGAGCTTTTGTACACACATTACCACTATTAATAGCTACTTTTTCGCATCCTTCTCGAATTCATTAGACGTGCCAGTGGTGGAGATTTTAAGGTATCGTAAGGGTTTTTTCCCCCTAAATTTTACGCCACTGGAAAAATTGACTTTTGACAGTAAATTTTAAAGCGCCAATGAATTTTACACAATAAGAGTTCTCTTGGTTCATTGCTCTAAAGTCAACTGTTTTCAAGAAAAATGACTTTTTATGAACAAAAGCAAACATTTTGCTAGTGTTTCGAAAATCTTTTGTAATTCAAAAAATAGGTAGTAATAATTAACAATTTTAACGAAATTTAACAACAGATAGGATTTTAACTTTTTTTTATCAATTTGGCGAGTAAAATTTACAGAAACTGTTCAAAATTACGTCCGTTGGCTTGAATGCACGCATTACATCTTCTAATCATGTTTCTTTCTGCCGCTGCGGTTTCACCTCTATCGGTCAACTTTTCGATAGTATTGACATGGATTTCATAAACGATGCATTTCGTTCTCCGGATGTTCTGTTCAGTTACTTGCACTTGCAAAATGTTCAAAATGCAAAATGCAAAATGTAAAAAAT